CACTGGCCTGCCCTAAACGGCGGCTGGGGCTCCCAGCCATTTTATTGTTTCTTTTCCAATCTTAGGCAGTGAAGAATGAATTGCTGGAAAAATACTACAAACATGGAGGGAAATTCCTTACCATGCTTCCAGATGGAACAGCACAGTTATTGTATCCTTTACGGGGCTCTTTTGCCTGCATTAGTCCAGGGTTGTAACTGTAATTTTAAGCGTGTCCTACTCTGCTTTATCGCCGAATAACCTGGTCCACCACTCACACTCGCTTCCACATTCTGAAAAAAAGCAGTAGCAAAACCACTTATGTAGCTCTTGGTCTGAAGTTTTCCAGATCAGCCAGCAGCTTTGACGAAGGACGGGCACTTGTGTCTTTAATGCCCAGCTTAAGAAACGCGCTAGCCCAGTGTTCAGACCCCTCCGAGCTCTGGCCACCCGGGTGGGCACCGAGAGCGATCAGCCCTGTCCTTCCGCGGGGACAAACCGGCACACTGCCCCCCGGCACCGGCACAGGGCCGATGTCTCCGTCCTGCACACGGGGGTACGTATGAGGTGCACAGACAAACTGAAATCACCAGTGTAACTAAGAAATAAAAACGTGGCAGTTTCACCCACGGACCCCACAGCTTTCAGGCTGCCTCTGCCATTACTTAAGCCGTAACATTTTAATTCACCCACATTATTTTCCCTTACTGTGGCTGACTTCTTTCTGACCTGGGGGTGTACGAAAGCATACCTGAGCTCTGCCAGCACAGCAGACGGGCTTGAGTCGACTCCAGGCTGCCTTTGTCCCAGGGATGCTGCCGGTCACGGCAGTGGCGAACGGCCAAGTGCCACAAACGCATGCGCTCGCAGCAGCCAGTCTTGCTGGAGGGAAGCCCCAGCGAGATGCAGAATAACTGCTGTTTGGGTATGTGGGTACATTCGAGTCCGGTTTCCAGGGCAAGAGCCTTTTTCCCCCAGCTGTTTGATTTTTTTCCTCTGGCAGAATAACACCTGCCCCCGTTTTCTCTGCTGTCATCCAAGTTGAGCGTTTGATCACTTCCCTTTGCTAGGCTCCTACTTTCAATCATAAGCATTGGCCAAGAATGTGTCTTTAAAGTAAACCTGCTGAGCGGCTCTGCCTGGGTTATTGGTTAGCAAACAACAAAAACGTATTCCGTATCTCTAGGCGCTCTTTTGTCAGCGTACACAGAATACTTCAGCGCAGGAGAAAAGCAGTGGCAGCGTCCCACGGAACACTGGCAGCACACCACCATTCCACCTTGAACAGGGTGAACTGGGTAACACGTCGATTTGTGTACTCCAAAGCAGGGCTCTGAAATATTCAGTATGTAATGACAGACTGACCAAAGAAAGGCACTATGAACACCTTATCTGACGACAGCTATCCGTCTGGAAATCTGGCAGTCATTGTCGTGCGAGAGAAGAACCAGCTTGCTTGCATCGTACAGGAGGACAAGCCGCACCACGCCGAAACACAAGCAGTGTTTATGTCCGGCGGCAGAAGTACCTGCTATTACCCCAGCGGAGCCGTGTGGTACGTTCAAGCTGTCAGAGCAGCTTCGCTCTCCACTGCACACTTTAAATTTCAAAGGTCCCAACGGGTATTTTTAATAGCGTTCAGAAATTAAAAGACAAATACAGCAGCTCGTGGGCCTTGCGTCAGGTGCTTCCCAGAGGAGCAAGGCTACCCCCGCTGTGTCTTGGGGTGCGGGGGTCAGGCCCCAAACTAGCTGTGCCTCAGTCCCGTCCCTCTGGGGAACGAGGTGCGTCGGCTGAGGGAGCTGCAGCATTGAGAGCTCTGCTTTTCCTCTCTTCTAGGATAAGCATGAGTATTCAGGGAGGGCAGTACTTGGACCAAGCAGGCAGCAGGGTGAGAAGGTGGATGTGGCCGAGCAGCGTCACGTCGCCAGGACCCCACGTCCCGCTAAGACCCATCTTCATCTCCCTGAACCGGCACGTGGGGGTCAGGATCCTGGGCCAGGACAAGATCACCGTTTCCTTCCTTGCCATGGGGCAACAAGCAAAATTCAACGTGGGGACCAAAGTGCAGGTATTTCTCCAGCGCACAGGCAGCTGCAGGCGAAGCTGCTCCCGGCAGCGGGCGCAGGGCAGCCAGGGAAGCTCCCGCCCGCGGGGAAGCGCACTCATCCCACGGTGGGTGCTGCCCCGTGGTCCTGCACACAGCGGAGGTGTAGCCATGCTCAGTCACACGCAGACCGGGCTCACCAGCCCCAGCAGCCCCAGCTCCCTGCATGGGGCTGCAGAACACGGGAAGCACTCGGCCAGGCTCCCAGTGTCCCTGGCTGCGTCCCTGAGGGTCCCCTGGCTCTGCCCCAGGGAAGAGAGCCGTGACCCATGTGGGCAGGGCACATGTCAGCTCCCTTCGTCCACGGGCTCCTGCCATGGGGACAGGTTTGTCTGCCAGGCACAGACCAAAGCCCTGAAGCCCCGTCCCACGCTGCCTCGGCTCTGCTGACACCGCTCACCTCCACTCCCCAGGTCAGCGACGTCGGCCGGCTGCCTCCCCCAGCCCGGCTGGGCGAAGACGAGCTCCTGCTGCTTGCCTTCAGGGTGAGGATTCTGCGGCTCTTCCACAGACTCCGTGGATGCTTAAACTATCCTTCTAATGAGCAATGGGACAAAATTCAGCCTCCCGCTTACCTTATCACACAGACTTTAAAGATCCTACAGCTCTGCGCAACTTCTGACATAAGCGATGAGCTGCGCAGTTTGGTCAGGCCGATAGTAAATGCTCCAGACTGACCAGCGTGCGTGCGGTGTGAAGGCAGCGCCAGCGCGAGACGCTCCCCGGCGCCCGCACGCACTCAGCGAGGTGTCGCCGGCGGCCCTGCCGTGGTGCGCCATGCAGCAACCGCAGCAGTCCCACCCGACATGGCCTCGCTGCTGGGAGCGGGGCAGGCAGTACCAGACCACGTTTTCCCGCAGCCCACACTGAAGTGTGTCTTGGCCACGGAAGCATGAAGAGGGGCTTTGCTTAGGGCAAAGTAGATCCGTGCTTGACGTCAGCGCATTGCTCCTGAGCTGTCTCCTGGCAGAAACCAGCCCAGCCGACCAGTCCTTTCAGCCCGTGGCTGCGGCACAGGGATAAAAGCAAACAGAGCACAGCTGAGTCACGGCACCGCTCTGCACAGCCAGCGCTGCTGCCAGGGGCAGGGCACCAGCGGGGTACGCAGGCGGCCCTGGTGCCAGTGCTGGCTGGCAGCTCGGCACGCTGCAGGGACAAGACACAGCGGTTGCCCCCGCAGAGGGACAAAGCCCACAGGTTGTCCAGAGCAGTCAAAAGTCACAGTCCTGGCGACGTCCGTGCGGATGCTGGGGGCAGAAGGCTGTAAGCGGGGACAGCAGAGAGCATGGACAAGCCGCAGCCTCTGGCAGGATATAGTGGTGTACGGGGGGCCCTCGGGCCGGCCCCTGCCCCAGCTCCCAACAGCTTGGACATGCAGGATCAGGGGCTTCACCTTGGCCCTTCGTGCTGCATCTGAGCAGCTCTGCGAGGTGGCTCCGGACGTCTTTGCTGCACAGGGCACAGACGAGGGGGTTGATGAAGGAGTTGGTCTGCCCCGGCAGCTATCAGGCATCCTTGCGCGGGCTTGGCCAGGCTGCAGGCGGCCTGCACGGTGCTGCCCACCACGCAGGGCCCCGGGAGAGGCAGAAGCTGAGGAGGACGATGAGCACGGTCCGCAGTCCCTTGAAGTGGTGCTGGTGGGCACAGAGCTGCGAGTGCTGCCCGCGGGTGATGCTGCCCACCAAGACGCGCAGGCACCAGGGCAGCTTTGGGAAACAGTGCCCACGAGGCACCGGCTTACTTGGGATGCCGACAGCCCAGCATCTGACACGGGGACCCCTTGCAGCCTCCAGACCCCGCGCGCAGAGGGGAGCACGTGGGGAAGGGGAATGGCGAAGGACGCGCCTCCAGGGCCTGGGGCAGCATCTTGGCAGTCGGTCTGCGAAGACCATGGGAAATCAGGGCACACTGGGGAGCAAAGCGATGTGGGGAGGGTCCCCCACTGTCCCACCCTTTACCAGCTCCTCCTGGCCACAGGTCAGCAAACACATACAAAATGAGCTCCTACTCTATCCAGCTGTAACCGCAACACTTAACAGGAAGTTGCATAGTAAACAACCCCCCCAAAATTAAATCCAATTTATGTCAAGTTAGGCTCTGGATAAACACACTATATTCATTAAGTTCCCGTTTATTACCAATTTGGAATTTAAGTCTCCCAGTGCCAGACAGACTACTTGCAAGTTCTTGCTAACGAGCGGCACGATGGCTCTGCTAATGGCACTGCAAACAGCAGCCACCGCCGGAGAAGCCCCTGTCCCCAGGAGAGGGGTGGAGTGGGGACAGCTCCCGCTCGCTCGCCCAGGCCTCATCGCAGGGGAATCGGTGGGCTGCAAGGACAGAAAGTGGGCACTAACAGAGCGATGGAGGTCCAGAGCCACGCCAAGCTGCAACGCAGGCCACTGGGCAGAATCACACGACAAAACTACCGGAGGTGGTGGGGCATCAGCAGGCGCTGGCTGCCCCTCGCCCCTCTGTGCCCCAGGGACGTCGGAGCCTTCCCCGAGGCACCGCGAAGGGTGGTCCCCCTGCGCCGCAAGGCCCGAGGCAGAGCAGCAGCCCGTTGCCGCACGCCCGACTCCCGTGAAACACAGACCGGCGCCAGCTCGGGCGCAGTGGCATGGGTCAAAACCTTCAGTTAGATTCAAAATCTTCTAGACTCTCGTGGTTTAGAAATATGAAGATCAAACCTGGGGGGTTGGTTCTAACCTGTTGTGCCACTGTAATGCCAGTTTTTAGCAGGGTTAGGTCTGACTGACGCCAGCGAGAGCACACCTGAGCACAGATCTCTGCTGCAAACAGCTCAGTGTGACGACCCATTTTTTCTGCACTCGCAGTGGGAAATGCGAGACCCATTTTTTGCCCCTCCCTAGTCCGCACCCAGCTCACAGCAACTCCATCAGACCTGTATCCCCTACCCCTGTGCCGTGCCAAGCCAAGATCAACAAGCTTGACTCTGCCCTTCTGATTTATTATTTGATATCGGTTTTGCACATGGGTGAAATCAATCGGCTTGTTTAGATAAATGGGCCATTACACCTTCACTTTAAAGTTAAAAAGTGGCATTCTGCACTTTGAGAGAGCAAAAAGCTGCCACTTCAACGCCAGGACAACACGTGGGTACCGGGGCTTCCAGCGATGCTGGTGGTCGCACCCTTCTCCACACCAGACAGACGCATTCAGTAAGACGATTCGGAGAAGCCCGTCCAGGATTGCTGAACACGCAGAAACCCCCATGCTGAGTATTTCTGGAGGCTGGGAGGTGAGAGGGGAATGGGAAGCACCGATTACCAACTAGAACAAGTTCTGCGGGTTAGAGCACCACAAATACTGAGTCCTCAGCTGGTGTCTGGCAACTGGCAGGCAGGTATCACTGCCTTTAATGACTGTCAAGGCTCTTCATTCCCACTTACTGTTCAATTTTTCCATTTGGAAGTGCTCTATGAACAGCAGCCATGGGGCTTGGTCCAGCCCATCAAAACCAGCCTGCCACGTGCACTGGCCAGCCCCGAGCAATGGCAGACACGACCAGACCGCTGCCCACCCTGCGCCTCCCAAGGGAGACGCTTCTGGCGCACCGAAGGGACGCGAGCACAGGTTCCAGTGCAGCAACATACAACCCTGCTCAGGTGGAAGGGAAGGAACACCACAGGCAGCAAGCAGACTGTAGGCAAATGCCACCACGGTGGTCACACAAACAGCTCACAGCCCATCTCAGCCTAGCAACGCCTCTGTGCATCTATCTGTTCTCTGTCTCGTCTGTGTGAAGCATGCAATTATGAGAAACTAAAACTCTATCCATACTAGGAAACCTTGGTTAACCTATTTCAGCAGAGAAGGCGCGAGTTATCTGCAGAGCTGATTTCCCCACAGTCAAAGCAGCCTGGAGGCCACGGGGTGTTCAACGGCTGTGAGGAGCAGCACCTTTGTAACAAGCAGCAGGACAGAGCCGCTGTTACCTGGAACATTTCTCACACTGTCCCTAAAGCTCCAGGGAAGGTGAAAGGCCATTCTTACAAAACCTGACGGCTGCCTTCGGCACAGCTCTGCAGATTCCCTTCTCGTCTGACTCACTGCCCCGACAGAGAAAACCTCCCTCCCTCCCAGCCACATCCAGAGACAATTTTTGTTAAGAAAGATCCAGAAAGCACTTTACCTTGTCTCACGAGGGGTTTGAAACGCTGAAGCTCGGAGCAGGGCCAAAAAGCAGAGTGGGAGGCAGGTGGTGCCCAGCACCGAGCCCCCCACACCAGCGCCCACGCTGTGGCTGCTCTGCCACCCAGGTGCCCCGGCACGGCAGCACCCCAACTCACGTCGCAGCGGGATCTGGCAGGGCACCAGGGAACAGACAAAACTCTGTGTGCTCCGCCCAGAACACGGAGGTCGTTAGGGGCTGAGACAAGACAAAGACAACATTACCAACTCTGGAAAGTAGGCTTTTTATGCACTTTTTCAATTGCAATTCTAGAAACATCCATCAGTGACTCAAACAAGGTACTTCAGACAGTACATGAGGACTCTTTATTTCAATTAACTTTCTTGACACCTGTTTAGGACAGTAGAAAGGCCCAGCTCTTCACCTCTCCAGAATGGTCAAGGAAAAACCTCCCGAGCTGGCCAGCGCAATTTAAAAAGCAGCTGATCTCAACTTTTACTGAAGTCACAAAAGTGATGTAACTACTCTGCATATAATTTTGTTTACATAATTTAGTATATAACGCACTGTTCGACTCTGCCATATATTTGGAAAAATATACAAACCTGCTTTAACCACATTAGAGATGTTTGATAGACAGCTGTCAATTACTTAACAGTTTAGGACAATACCAGACACTCCTATAACTTCATTTTAAACTACAAAAAGAACATAAATTCATATAAAATACAACAGATTAAACAAACTTTTTTTCCCCAAGGAAAAAAATCAGGCATCAACTCAATCTGCCATTGCGTGAGACATGAATATAAAATAAGTTACTATTAGTAATGCCTGCATTGTCGAGCTATGAACTGGTCGAATGAAATCTTAAAAAAACTATACAGTATTATTGCACTCCATGACTGTGCAGTATCTGGGAACACGCCAGCACTGAAAGAGGTCTTTTATTAAGCTTTTTTTCAGGAGGCACAACGCGGCTGCGAGAGAAGCATCCAGTCTGTACTAACAGCGTGCTGTCTTCAGTACAGGCCTTCATGGGTCGGAGCCACGCTGCCTTTGGAAATCGCCACTTAATGCCTGGAAACGGAGACACAAGCGTTACAGTCGGCAACCACTCCTGCATTAAACGAGCAAGACATCTCCACCAGGCCAAAACACAAAGCTGAGGCATTTTATGTACCCTCAGGAGAACAGCAGGTTCTTGGGCTTCCGATTATAAAACCTGAATTACAAGCACTGTCCCTTGGCAGGCCCCAACTCATGGCAAGAGAGCACTATCACTGTCTTATTCTGGGTGACAAAGGCACCATCAGAATGACACTACGTTATCTGAATTCAAGTAAGGAGACATTAAAACACAAAGCCACCAAGCCTCACTATCACACTCTCCTAACCTGCAGTGTTGTTCCCCACTGGATGGAGATACAACCGAATGGGGATTTGTGCTGTTGTTTTTTTCTAAACTCATCCCATTAAATTACATTCTATGTAAGAACAGTCTTAGCATGCTTTGTAAGCTGAAAAGTGACATCAGTCTGCTTTGCAACAAAGAATACTGCCCGAGAGCCTCCAAATCCACACATACAGGGTGCTGGGCTTCAGCAAGCCCATGTGAAAAGTACAGGAAACACCAAAATTTTAATAATGCATACTATTTTAAAAATATGAAACAACTTATTTCATGATTAAGATGACTTTTTGCTAAATCACTAAGACAAACCAGACTCAAATGAATAAACAGGACATGCCTGCAGGAATCAAAAGTCAGCTGCTTCTCGTATTGCCTGCACGAGGGCTACGAGGGAGCAGTCTCTCCGCATCGCTCTCCCCACCTCACCAAGCCGCAGGAGCACCCGTGCAGGGAGAGGCCGACAGGAAAAGCAGTGGGGTTCGAAGTCTGAGCTCTGAAGCAGTGAGCAGCGGCAGAGCAAGCCCTGGTTACAGAGCACGGTTTCCTACACGGAGCACGCCTGCCTGCAGTGCCTTGACAGAGCTTCGGTTTCTCTGAACGCACGCCGCCACGCGCTACGCTCTCGCTTATGTAAACACGCATCTGCAGAAGCCGAGTCGTACTAAACAGAGCTCCAAAGGGAATCACCGCAGGTGTCTGAACAGAGCTACGTCATGCACGGCTGCCGCTGGGACCGACTGATCCGTTTCAGGCGGTGAGACAGCTGCGAGACGTCAGCCGGCAGCAACGGGAGCACGGGGTCTGCCGCTAGAGAGGGGTGTCTGTCGGCATGGTACTGCCGAGAAACCACTCTCCCGAACCAAAGAGCTCTTGTGCCAGAAACTGCACCACAGCTCATCAATACTTCAATGGTCTCCTAAGTGTCAGCTGCCAATTTTTGCACCAGGACAGTCCTTCTGTAGCACAGTAATATTCCTACGAAGACTCGTAAGGTAAATGTTTTGAAAGCCACCGGTGATGCAGGAACACGGAACTGGTTTGTCAGAGAATATAAAAGCATGGATGTGAACCCTCTGCTCCTAACGGCCAAGGAGTATTTGCAAAAGGTTAAAACAGTTCAGCATGCAGATGGGAGCAAGCAAACATTCTACTTTCTAGGGTCACGCAACTCAGTTAGTTACTAGTTATAGAGAAATCGTTCGCACATAGACTGTCTTAAGGCACATAATGCAGTGTGTTTTCTGATCTCTGCGTAACACAGTTCACTAACTTCAGGCCTTCTGCACGCAGTAACACATTTTTTTCTGCCCAAAGGTATGCCAGCTTCCAGTTTTGAAACAGGCAGAACCAACCCCAAACCAAAACCGTATCTGTAAAATCATACATGTCAGTTTACTAAAAGGCACTAGAGCCGGTTCTCCAGTAAAACACTTTCTAATGAACAAATATACGATTACAGTGTTCAACCTGCCACACGCGGTCCTTCACATCCGAGCCAACAGACAGCTGGCGACTGGAAGAAGACTTACAAGAAGTTTCAGTGCTGATAGATGGGGCTATGATCGATGATGAGGCATTGACTCCATGTGCACATTGAGCTTCATTTCATTATCAAGAATTTGTACAAGCTGCTGCATGGAAGGAAGTTGGCCAGACTCTAGCTTAGACCACACTGGAACATCTACCACAAAACACAGGGAGAGGAGAAAAGCATCATTACACTGATGAAGTCAGAAAACACACAGGGCTAATTTAAACACAAAATTTAAAAGACCTAAGAAGCTATGCAAGTTGGTACCATTTTATATTGAGAGAAATATCTGGATCAACAATGCTTCAAACCTTTGGCTATGCTAAAACCCAGTCTAACTATGAGAACAAAAAGTCTAATGCTTCTATTTAGAAGTTCATCATCTGGATTTACAGGTTCAAAATATCCACTGACAGAATGTCTAAAAATAGATAAGTGAGTGGCAGAACAGTAAGCCAAGTTTTTAAATCATCGCTAAATCTTTGAAACGTGTGGGTCTCATTAGTCTTCATCTCACTTCTGCCTAACATCTAAGGCTGACCCTCAGAAGTTCTGCTTAACAGCACCTGGCTTGCCAGGTTCCACTCAAAGTAGCTGCAACCATTACCCCCCCACCACCCCCAAAATAATATATAAATTAAAGGCATCACGGTCCATAAATGCTTTAGGGTAAACACAACATTCATTTCTGACGGTGATAAATACCTACTCCCTCAGTCATCCCTCACTGCTACAGCACTTCATGAACCCACACTGAAAAACACAACTGCTGCCATCTGCATAAACCAAAAGCCAGACTGGAACCACACTGTCCCAAAACACAAGCCAGAAACTGCAAGAAGTCCAGATGTGACTGCTCACCCCCAGGAAGGCTCTGCTGCCCATTCTGCTCTGAGATTTAGGGCTGAAGTGCATCGAATTCAACTCCTTGGATGCAATACAGCCAGTCCTTAAAAGGTTCTGCAGTGTACGACTTGACTTAGAAACTACTATGATGCAACGCATCCTGCGCCATCATAAACTGAGATTATAAAGCACAGAGCTAGACAACATACTTCTACCTAGAGCCTGAAAAATTCTGTACTCCATCAAGCTTACATAATCTTTAAAATCCTAAAATTATTTGAAGACAGAAGGTCCACAGACACTTTAACCTAAAAAAAAAAAATCAGTACTGCAGTCCACAGGTGCTGAAGATCTGGGAACAGCAATGGATCCAATGGGATTCCAAGGCTAAACCGCATCAGAAAACGGGATAAGCATCTAGTTAACTGGAGAGTACGCTTCCCTAGTTGATCATTTCTTACTTAATGCACATCACATGCAAAGAAAGAACATAATACAGTAACTCCAAGTGACCAAGCATTCCTCTAAGTAAGTTTTTACATAGCTCTCTGAAAATATACGTAACTGACATCTGCACAAACCGCTTTGTAAGAACACTATGATTTTCATCATTTATTGCGATATGTAACACCTTAAGTTTCAAAGTGGATGGCAATTACCCCATACCATCACATTTTGAAACACATACACTTCACAACATCATCCCGCACTCTCCCAACGCAAAGCTCTCAAATCTGTGCGTACACATGCAACACACTGTGATTCCCTTAAACAGAAAGTTCTCTGCTTACCATTGAAAGTGATTTCAAATGCACCCGTTGACATGCACTGGTTCTCAATCATGTTGCTCAGGAAGAAGACCATCATGCAAGCATAAACCTAGAAGAGAACAGAGAGAATTCCTGACACTTCAGCTGTGTGAGCCACAGCTTGTTTTATTCACTCTATGTAAGTGCTGGAAAAGCTTACAGGCATCTCTGAATTCCCCTCTGCAATTTATCATGCAATCTTCCAGTTGCATAGACATCTTCCTTTCATCCTCCTTTAAAAAGGACTGTGCACGCTGCCTTCCCAAGACAGGTATCAATATAGCTCTGAAACCACCCAACTCGCAATCCCAATTCAAACCAAGCTACACCTTCCCACTCCTTTCCTCCACAAACCCACGCACACCTTAACAGCCAGTTTGCAGTACGTGGCTACGATGGCACTCACAGGATGGCAAGGGAATGCAACTGTTCCTGCGCAGTGCCTGTCGTTCTCTGAGCAACACTTCAGATCAAAGAACCACAGGCCTAGACACAAGCAGCAGAGCCAGTCAAATTGCATTTCTTCACAAGAACTGTCAACCCTCTAGCTATTCTTCAAAGTAACCATCCGGAATCTTCTGTGTGCACTGGTGCCTCAGGATGAAATGATGCCATCTTCAGCAACACAGCACCTCCTCCATCGCCAGCACCTTCACAACTCCCTTTTCACGCACAGGGCGCATTCACAGCGGTTACTGCAATACCAAAGAATTTAGCACGGGAGACAGCTGTTTACACCATCACAGATGGGACACCCCGCAGCGAGCCAAGCTCAGCAGGGTATCTGGCCCATTTAATTAAACAGAAGACACTGCGGCTTCTGTACATTCAGACTGACTGCTGACGGAGCCCCACTGCACTGGGTAGCTCAGCTTCAGGATTTGTGCACCAATAAAATATGTAAAGGTTAATGAACGTATAAATTGCTTTTGCTTAGTAGAGTAAGTCTGGAACAAGGTCACTGTAAACCAGAGTTCAATAGCATTAATCTCCAAGCACCACCAGTGCCGATTCACAGGGATATCAGTCCCACAAGGCACAGTCTGTCACGCCCGAGTACATCCTGCAAAAACACCCACAAAATTTCAACTCGATCTAACCACCATCAAATTGCATGCCTAATTGATCGGAAGTCTGATTAAAGCAACAACTGCAAAATACTTATGAGACAACAGAAGAGGGAACCTAGAATTCTAACACCAACAATACCAGCTTGCAACTCTACTCTTGGGCCCTAAAAAAGTAAAAAAAAAAAAATCTTCTATCATCTCTGTCAGTAACAACCACCTCAGCTGTCCCTCTGCAGCATCATCAGCTTGGAAAGCGAGATGCTGAGAATCAAATCTGGGTCTGTCAAAAACACAAAGCACTGCTATTAAGAATAATGATGCTACCATAACGTTCTCAAGTATATTTAGTTACAGAAGCCTAAAGGTTCTGTTAAGGCTGCAGTGTACGAAAGTTAAGACAGTAACAATTGTGAAGTACTCCCAGAACACTATCATGAAGTCATTCCAAAACTGATTTTTCAAAATAGAAGAAGAAAGGATGCAGTTTACCTTATTTTCTTGGCCCCACTGCCAGATGCTTGGAGCTTGCATGCCAAAGAAAGCAAATGGATCCTTGCCAACGATTATTAAGCCTATTAATACTAGTTTGAAGACAGACAGGAAGGATGCTATGTGCCTATCAAAAGACAACACATAAAAGTGACTCAGAAGCTTCAGTTACTACTTCACCACTATATAGCTGTAATTCATCTAATTAGAAGAATTTTGATTGCATACAATTAACTATTTCAGGGGAAATACAAAACATTTCAAGTAAGTTTATCTCGCTGTTAAAAAAAAACCAAAAAAGCAGCCCACATTAACAAAAAACACATCCTCAGAAGGACACACCTCTTGTATACCATGCACACAGATTTTTTTTTTTTTTTAAGCAGATCTCAAATAGAAATCTGCTTTGAACTTACATGTGTCTAAACTGGATAATACATTCAGTTTCTTAAAGAAGTTGTTCCATATTACAGAGACATGTTTAACTGACACGGACTACTTCCTCGTAAAGCATTTTCCCAGCAGATGCAAAACACCCTACAGTTCTTTCCAAGAGTTAAACCTACAGCCAGAGGGCAAATTAACACCGAGGTATTCAATCTTGTACCATTCTTACCATTGCAGTTACAGTAATTAGGTCAAGAACTGGTTCAGAATCCACCACAGTAACTGTGGCATCACTGTCTAGCATGTACACAATGGTTTAAAGAATAGGACTAACGCTATTTTTGCTTTGTCTTTCTCCAGATTTCCCTGGGTTCTCCCACAAACTGTAGTTAAGGACCTCCTAGTAGTCTCTCCGATGATGTTAGCTCTCCCCTGATTCAGATGTCAAAAACAAACTCTTCCCTTCTCTGCAATCTTAACCTACTACAGGAACTTGTCACTAAGCGCATAAGCCTGAGCAACACACGTTCATATACATTACGAAGGAAAGCTGGAAAAATTCACTGTAAAAAAAGAGTGAATTAATTTACTTTAGATTGGAACACAGGAGACCTCATCACACAGATGGAAAACTAAGTTTCTCATGGAAAACTAAGGTGGCTATCTGGAAGGGAAATGATAACTGAGCTTGTATGCAATCATAATGGAAAAAAACCCTTGAGTTCCTATTTTCAATATTATTTAAGCATAAATGCACATGTTCACCATGCTGAGCGTACATATGGAAAGAAAGACAATTTGTACTGCTAGTCACATGCTTACCTATATATAGGTTGAGGAAGGTAGTTCTCCCCTTCGATTCGGATGTCTGGGTACCGCTGGCTGATGACCCGCATGTACTCCTCAAACACCCGCCTGTAGCCTCAGGAGACACTAAACACAGACAGGGCTGGTCACGGAAACTGGAGCGCTGCCTGCTCAAGTCACTGTTCAACCGGCAGCACCAGCACTCACACCGCTTGTAAACCGTTTAGTTTAAAATAAAACTAAACTTCTTCACACCAAAGAGTAAAATTGATTTTCAGCCAAGTGATACAGCAAAACTCCTGACAGCTGGCTAGGCACTTGGTTTGACACAGGTTTATCTTCACTTACTAGCACAGACACAACGCTCTGGTAAACCCACTGAGCAAGGATTCACTTGTTTCCCCCATAAAAAGCTGTTAAGTTAGAAAGTCAGCACACATATCAACTTGCTCTGTGTTCAAAAAAAACCCAACCAACCCACCCAAGTTTCACACAACGCCGCTTTAATTCCTCACTAGTTAAATTTCACTCTTTCTGGGGCCGCCCACAGGCAGGTAACATCGCTCCCGCTTACTTCTGTGTAAGAACGACCAGGGTAGCTACAGAGCAGCCAAGTGCCGCAGAGCTGTGCTCCGGCTCGCGTTT